GAATGTATTAATACAGTATCTTTATTATGTCATTACATGAATGCAAAATTTCCTAGGATATTGTTTTCACTATCCATTTATGACAAGACTCGTAATAAATAATTATCATTCTTTTTATTATCTGTATTCATTATGTTTGTATAAAACAAACATATAATATGAGTAATATGATCAGTTTGAAGAGTAAGACCAGATTGATGAGTATGACTATTTTGATGAGCTTTGCGAGTTTGCCCAGTTTGGAGAATTTACTCGATTTGATCCGTTTGACTCATCCATATCATATAGTTCAAATATAAATTCAAAAACAACAAAAATTATAAATTTCCAAAATGAATAACATATTTTAAAATGATAAATTATCTATTAGCAAGAGAGAGGTGGAGAGAGAAGAAAGCGAGAGAGAGACGAGAGAGAAGAGACAGAAGAGAGAGGAGGAGAGGAGAGAGAGAGCGCAAGAAAGGAGAGAGACAATGGAGAGAGAGGTGGAGAGAGGAGAAAACGTGAGAGAGAAAAGACAAAAGAGAGAGAGAGGAGGAGAGGAGAGAGAGAGAGCGCAAGAAAGGAGAGAGACAATGGAGCGAGAGGTGGAGAAAGAAGAAAGCAGGAGAGAGAGAGAGAGGTGGACAGAGAAGAAAGCGGGAGAGAGAGGTGGAGAGAGAAGAGAGAAATACAAAAGAATTTTATTTTATTTTATTATATTATATAAATTAATAAAGGGTATTATAGAAAAACTATATTTATAAGGTTATAATTGATGTTGTCTTTTTTCTTTTTTTTATGAAAAGTATGTGATGAAGTCCAATGTATCATTTAAGGTTATTTTTGCAATTGGTCCAGTAGAAGAAGTGCTTGTAGCACATTTGGGGTAATTTGGAAGTTACCCCATTTTAACTTATACCCTCCAAAAATCAGAGTTTAAAAAAATTAAAAACGAATAAATGTCAAAAATAAACCTTGAAAAAAGATATAATACAAATAAAAAGTAACTTGTGCAGTTTCAATTGCAGTATGTATCAAGTAGCGTTTCTTAATCGCTGATATAACCGACATTTCTTAATCACATCTTTTGTGCAGTCAGAATAAGATTGAATGGTTTAACTTTGTCTCTCCTCTTCACTCCAAACCAAAACCGATGCATCAAAACTGGAATAGTTCACCCGGTGAAACGGTGCGCATAACGTTCGTCTCAACCCGAATTCAAACTTCAAATTTAGAGAAAGAACGTATAATCCAAATCACCTAAATGGTTCCCGGACCCCGAGATTAGTCTAGATTTCGATCCAAATTCCAGATACCCGGTTATCAAAAAAAACCAAAACCGATTATCTAAAAATCGGTTTAGATGACCTATAATGGAAGAATTCGGTCCGGCCTTACATAAGTCTAGGAGCTAAACTTGGATGGCCAAAGTCGAACAACTAGAGTCACATGCAATGGTCCAAGATCAGTAAAATCTTAAAACACTACATCATCGATTCATCATCAACATTCAATCCAAAATTATTACAAAATAGAAGAAGTACTTACCCTAAATAGAAAAGGTTGGAACATTTCTTTATCCTAGTTACACAGCAGTCTGTTTGTACTGAACTTTCCTCGCTATACGTATAGATTTCAAGTAACAATTCTGATGAGAACTTGTTACGAATCTGTAAACAGGGTAATTAATTATACAGGTAAATTAGGAGTCCCAAGATGGTTAATCATAAGTGAAATATCCGATCCAAGATGGTTAAAAGTTTTCTCCATATCAACAATGCTCTTTCCTTTCCTTTGTCACTCACTCAATTAGAAATTCTAACGAGAAGTGCTATAAAAACCCCCAACAAAGCACCTGCAGCAACCTGCACAAAGAAGGGTCAAGACCCACCTGAATGTTTTCAACGAATTATTCCTTCTTATTTCTGTGTTTTGTCATAAATGCATTGTGAAGGCTCAGAGAGAGAGAGACGCGTGTAGGATACCTGAAGGGGCGTATGGCCAAGTGAGTCCCTGAGTGGTCGGCAATTGGAGACAGGATGATCAGGAGGTAGCTCACAAACGATTTGATTCAGCAACTACAGAGAGTCGTACCCGAAACTTAGTTGATGGGAAGAATTCAGACAATACAAGGCATAGTATAACAGCCCTGTAATGAAAAAGAAAAGAGAATGAAAACACAGAGAGAAATACTTGTGCATTATCTTATATCTTACTTCAGCTTGACGCCCGGCATGAAGTCTCACTCCAGTAGCATCGTACATGACCTACGAGAGACCGGAAGAATTGAAGCGGCAATTAATCGGGATTCATCAAAATCAAGTTAAATTGAATGTGTTTCTCATCAATAAATGCAGTATATGCTACAGTAACATTTTCAAGGATAATGACAGCAAGTTTTCTCTGCTTTAGTTCAACAAGATAACAAACCAAAATAGCATACAGGTAACGCTCTTCATTCAATATACAATTATATACAAGCTAGTCATAGTTAATGCAACGTATAGAATACGAAATAAGCTTTGTGATGGGGAATACGTACCACACATGCAAGAACAAGAGCAACTGCAAGCAAAGGAGACTTAATTCCTTCTTGTAGACCAATGGCAACTGCCAGAGCCATCACAGTTGCTGAATGTGATGATGGCATTCCACCAGATGCAAGTATCTTTTTGGTATCCCATTTCTTCTCCTTGAACCTTCAAATCACAAAAAAAATTAAAAAACTAATCACCAACACAATTCATCTACGCAATCAGGTCATCCTGATTTGGTCGTGAAACATCGAAGTAACCTTGGTACAACCTATCAAAAAGGCAGTCCAAAATGAGTCATTTTTCACCTAGAGAATGCTAATTAATTGTTAGGGTTCTAACATCAATTGATTGATGAGTTTACGAGTAACTGAGAATTTCGTTTTTCTGGTTTTAGAAATGCAAGTTGTAACAGATTTGTAGGTTTGTAAGAAGAGTAGTTAACTCATCTCATAAGAGTTAGATAGATATATAGGAGCAAAGACGAAACTGGAAGGGTGTCAGGATATTTCGGAAATTCAGGTCAGTTCATGTTCGGGGAAAGAAGGAAGGACTCCCCAGAATCAATCCAACCATCTTGTTCATAGAGTTTTCATATCAATAAATCAAGATCTTCGATAAACCTTTGTCCTTAACAAAAATATTGCATGAATTTGAAATGGAAACCAATTTCAGCTCTTTTACCTAACATTGCCCTTTTTTATATTCAGAGACTAGAAGATTAAAATATATAAGCTTCACATAGAGGAGGATAGACATCTGGTATTAGAGTATCAAGTTATCAACACAGATGTTCAAAAGAAAGCAACAGAATCAGCATAACGGAGAAACGAAATGAAACTACAGAATAGTTGCACATTGCCAAGAACTCCAACCACTTTCCAACGATCACTCGCGGATCGGTTAAGCAAGATTTATTTTTTCCATAGTTTTTCAGGTAAATGTTCCTGAAAAGAAAATGAAGAATACAAGGTATACTCTATCGACGCTTAGTTAATGATCCTTTCTCCCCCTTACCCTGGGATTCAATCCAAGTTCATTAAGCCTCCAAAATTATCACTTCATGTTCACACTAGATGATAAGGCTGGACAGGTTCTTGGAGGAAGCTTTACAGGACTGACAAAAAGTTCATGCTGAGATAGAACTTCATCACAATCATCAAAAATAGTTCATGAGTAGCCAGCCCAGTTCATTGAACCAATTTGAGGATAACATGACATAAGCTCGGAATCCGCATAAAGTGGTAAGCTTTTAACGTTTAACAAATCTGTTTAGGTGATGCCTGGTGTTACCGCAATCGCAATCATGGCGATTGAGGGCGTTTGCGATGCGTTTAACAAATCTGTTTGGCATCAACATATGATGCTAACATAATAATACTAATCGTTGGAACTGTTTCAGGAATACTCATAGAAAACTGCATACATGGAAAGAAGACCCATGATTGTTTGATCGAAAACAGATTTCACAGGCTATGAGAAGAATCAAAGTAAGAAAAATAAAAAATATCGAAACTTTCAAGCACCCAATTGCTACCTTTTTCCCATGGACTTTCTATGCAACCAAACTGACAATTCGAAAGAAAGTGCGGAATTACCAGGTGGTGAAGACCTTGAGAAACTGAGCGAGAGCGAAGGAGAGGAAAGCGGAGAGGAGAGGGACGTTGGTGGGCACAACGGACGGCTGAGATGATCCGAATCGCCTATCCACCGCCGCATCGGATGCTGTGATTACTTCGTCCATTCCAAGGGATCCGAGCGAAGACGATGATTCGGATTCTGAAGAGATCAAGTTTATCTGACGATTTCAGCAAATGGGTTCGATCGTTTGCATGACATTAGGGTTTGGGTAAATTGCATTCTCGACTAATTTGTCGCCCCGCGGAGTTTTGTCCGGCAACGTTTTTGGTGTTGGGCGTGCAATTAATTCTCTAACGATTTATTTAAAACCAAAACTATTCAAAATATAAATAAACTTGAAATTTGAAAAATATAACAAAAAAGCCATTTAACAAAAACAAAACATCAAAAGTTTATAGAAAATGTCTAAAACCTATAATATTCAGTAATTTATATATTCTCAATTCAATATAAAATATATTTATAAAATAATAATTTATTATCATACATATATTTGTCCAAGATTCAAATAGCAAAATATAAATATAATATTTTTTATATTTTTCTAGATATGAAATTGATGACTTTATATATAACTTTATATTATAAATATATTTAAGAAATTAATACATTTTAATTATCAACTATAATTTATTCATTTATCATATAAAATTACGTACAATTTTATGTATGTTTATAATGTGATATATTACTAACATAATAGTTTTATTAAAACTATAATATTTTTAAATGTTTTTATATTATGTTTATACTATTGGATGAAACCAAGCTCGCAAAATTGGGAGGGATTCCATGATCCAAGGAAGTCAATTAAACGACCAAAGAGGTTCAAGAGTCGAACCAAAATAACATAGTATATTTTAACTTTATTATATATTTATTAAAATATAGTAAGCTTAACATATCTGTGAAAATATATCTAAATTTATGTTTATTGTTATTAAATCCATGTTATGAATTTTCAGAATTTGACATCTACCTTTGTCACTGGATCCACAAATGATGTTGAATAAGTTCGGACGCTAAAAATATCATAATTACCATAGTAGATAAAATCACTGGCATATACTTTCGACGTGAATTTTCAGCTTTTAAATTTTATTTGTAACTTATTTTTCTCAAGTGAATTGGTATCAAAGCTCAAGAAGAAAGTGTTAATTTTTTATTTTTTATTTCTTTTTTGCGTGGAAGGATTTTTTCGAAAAATACATGATCCTACTTTATAAAATACTTGAGCGTATACATACAAAGTACAAACTGGAACCTTATCTGAGTATATGATTTATGGGTTCAACAGCTTTCAAGAGATATGACATTCTATGTAATGTAAAATTAATCTTTGATTACACTTTTGTAGTTTCCATCAAATAGGAATAAGTCAAATGATTTAACTTTTGCAAAATTCATGTGATAACTCATCTCTTTTTCACACTTCTAATGAATTAGTCGCCGTCACAAGAAAATAAAGAAAAAAGGTAAAGAGGAAAACATGAATTTAACAATGTCTATGGAGGACGTTCCCCTAAAAGCTCATGTTCTACGCAGACAAATGTCATTTCTCGTATCAAACCTTGTGCATGAAAAACATGAACATCTCTCTCTCCCCCTCCAACTCACACACACACACACCCCTATATATATGTATTTGCAATCCTTCTCTTGTCTTACGGTCCGTTCTTACGAAATTCCCAATGACCAAACTGTCGTATGCCCTACTCTTCCTCGTGCATTCTTTGATCGTTTTGTCCGATAAACAAGACTACGACTATCAGGTTCATGAGAACAGCAACGAGACCGTACACGGGTCGTCGGCATGGCTGAAGAACCAGACGACCAACTGGCATAGGCCCAAGCCGCCAGGGTGTTGGTCAAGGCCTTGGATTTGCAAACAAGGAGCTCCACCAAGGGCAGTGATGAGATGTTGCCGAAACCAATGCGTGGACGTCTCATCCGACGTCAACCACTGTCGTTTCTGCAACCGGAACTGCCCCTTCTCGTGGCTTTGCTGCGATGGAAATTGCGTAAACGTTAACACCGATCCTTTTAACTGCGGAAGATGTGGAAACATGTGTCCCGTTGGCGCTCCTTGCGAGTTCGGGATGTGTGGTTACGCTCAACCGTCTCCTCCCCAGTGGCCCCCTCGTCATCCTCGCCATCCCAAATTCAGATGGCCTAAGCCACCGCCTTCGTCAGAGAGCAGTGGAAAAGGTTCTGAATAGATTGATTTGCTATGGCGGCTATTTGGGTTACTAGGGTTCTCACATGGGTCGCAGTCCATGCTAGAGGTTTCGATCTTATTATCATAAGATACTTTCCATTGATTGGTTTCGTATAAGTTTCGTTTGTTTTGATTATTTGTGTGTCGTTGTTGTCGTTGTCGTGTCATTGCTTTTCGTTATTGAGAAATGAACATGACGAAGTATTGTCGTTACGATAGTTTGCATGCAAGGGTTATAACGTAAAAACACCGGAGAACAACGACAAAAGCGAGTGATCTCAGACCGTTCCATAGAAAGATCCCGACCACAACAAAAGCAAAGACTTCTCATTACGTCTACACTAAAAGTTTTGGAGAATAAAATGATTATAGAACTCTTGATCTGATTATAGAATCGAGAATGCACTACAAAAATACATCGCATATGCGACGGACGTATCCGTCGCACCGCGAACAGATATCCGTCGCAACAGATATTTTGCGACGGGTCACGACGGGAACAAATCCGTCGGTACAGAGCTGTCGCAAATTTGTTTCAGTCGGTTTCACCGTCGCAAATTTACGACGGAAATTTCCGTCGGTATATTACCGACGGACAATTCCGTCGGTATATTACCGACGGAAATAAACCGTCGTAGACCGTCGCGTTTATGTTTGTCGCAAATTGCGACGGAATATCCGTAGCAAGTTACCGACGGCAGATATCCGTCGTTTATGCGTCGCTATATTAATTTTCGAAATTAACGACGGATTCCGACGGAGTTGGTCCGTAGCAAGTTACCGACGGCAGGTATCCGTCGTTAATGCGTCGCATTATTAATTTTCGAACTTAACGACGGATTACGACGGATTTGGTCCGTCGCAAACTTTGTAAAAATAATTAAAAAATAAAAAATTTGTTATTAATTTAAAGATTTTAAAAATCAATTATTAAAACAAATTGATAAATAAAAATGCGAATTAATTAAAAACAAAAAAGATTCATATTTAAAAAAAAAAGTATAATACAATAATTTAGAAAGAGTTATAATACAAATACATCTATGGATCTACCGGTGCATCGAGATTGGTGGGTGCGTCCTCTGGATCGTCCTCAGGAGCATCTGGCTGCCGAGATGTCGTCGGAAAGCCATACTGGTCGAATATAGGCGGCATGAACGGTGTGAGGCGCCGCATCATCTCCTCGAAGCGTACGATCCTCGCTTCGGTCTCGGAGAGCTTCTGTAGCTTCTCCCGATGTTGCTCGAACTCTTCGATTCAAAAAGAAGGTGTAGAACCGTCGGTTCTACGAGTTCTTCAGGAGACACACCGTCGATCGGACGGTACATATGTGAATGAGCGGGTCCAGGAGATCGAGGAGTTGGTGCAGTCCAAGATCGACGATAAAGTCTCCCAGATGGACGAGAGTTCTGCTTCTACACAACTCTCGACAACCGAAGTTAACAGCCTATATCTAGAGGTAAATATTTATAAAATTAATAGTTCTGAATTTTAAAAATATATGATTGTATGCTAATTTTTCTTTCGTTGTATAGGTTGTCCATCCGGATGCCAGGATATAGTAAGTAACTTTTATATTAATAATTATATTTATTTAAAAAATTTTGTAACTTTAATTATTTTGTTTGTAGGCTCAAAAAGAAGGTGTAGAACCGTCGGTTCTACGAGTTCTTCAGGACACACACCGTCGATCGGACGGTACATATGTGAATGAGCGGGT